ACAATTCATTTTGTAATTGGTAATGTATTATTAGAACATTTTATTAATTTTATCTTAAAATCATGTCTTTATAATATTAAATTTTTTCAAGCTTACTGTCTACCATTTGCCAACTAAAGCATGAAGTAAAGAGAGCTGTGACATCTATGACTTGATAGATATTAAAACATACATTCTCAAGTTTAAAAGTGAAGTTTTTAGTGCATTGTGATAGCTTTTAAATAAAAATAATATTATTACGCTTTTTTCGACAATATGAATGTAGGTAGCTTGATAAAGCGAATTATTCCATTAGAATAAATAAATGTGGACTTTTAGCTGTTTACTCAATCATTCCACTTCACAGCTCTCAACAAATATGTACTTCATAATGTAAACAAACAAGCTGCTGTTGCACTAACACTTTAAATAATTCAGTAACAATCGCTTGGTATTGTACCGAATATAGTTTCTAAAATTGTTAAAAAAGTAAAAAATCCTAACTATATAATGTTCTTGCCGAAGGCGAGAAACAAGGTGTATAGTTTTTAACGTAGTAAATATGTAAAATCAGTCTGTGAGTTATCCTGAAATAATAGACTAATAAAAAGCAATTTCGTAATATATAATTATTTGCTCTCAATCCTTAAAACACGACGATCCTATTATTAAAACAAACAACTTTCCTGTACAACTTAAAAAATTCGCACAAATTATTTTGACTTTCCATACAAACTTTTATCTCTTGTTCAATCCATTTGTATGAGAAATAAAAAAGTGTGAATTCAAAAAGTATAGAAACGTCGGGATAAGACGGTCCGTTTATTTAAAAAAATACCTTGATTAAAATGATTTCGTTTTGTTGTTTCTAATTCCTTTACGCATGGATTGGATAAAAAATATTTAAAAAAATACTTTTTAAAATGTACACTTACAAACCTGCAACACAAAATTGCATTAAAATACAGCGTAATACATAAATATTAACATCTAAGCTACTTCTGACACCATAAAGAATATATAACATTTAATGTAAATATCTTTACAACTAAAAGACACATATTCATTGCTATTTAATTACATCAATTTGTAGGTACTAGCTTGTCTTAAGTCAATGAATAAATTATACTTAATAGGAAAAACAAAATGTAGGCATTTGTACAGCCAAGTGCAATAATATACATACAACGAATTGTATCATATAATATATATGAGTATAACGCATAAGCATTTCTTAAAAAATTGTAAATCCTGCCATATACATGTCACTAACACTTTCAGTTGAGATAACTCATTAATTAGAAAAGCAGTTACATATATTTTTTTGCTTTGTTTAGTAAATATCTATTATTGCACTTGACTGCATGACACTAAAGTAAAACATTTCTCTAATATTAAAAAAGAATTGCGAAAATTACGTTGAAAGTAAGCCGGGCGCGGCAAGGCTAAAATCTATTTTTCGAAACAGACTGTTTCTATAATAATAATAATATATTTTTTTTATATTTGATCCGCCTCCGTCTATCACGAACTTCGACATAGTAGTTCTTTCTAGAAATCTATCATTAAGTATTATAATTAATTTGTAACAATCATAAAAACAATAAATTAATTGTAAGCCTACGAATACAAATATATAGTTATATTATACGTATGAAATCTACGTGCTTATCAAGATTCTTACGATATACTTGAGACTTAGAAAGTCCGGTACTAAAATTCAGAACAAATATGAAAATATGTGCATTATACCGCATTAATATTTTAATACATAATAACTCTTTCGACTTACCCTAACGTAAAACAACCATCTTTAAGTAGAGATGGTAGCCGCATCACTGATCTGATGGGTTATCAACTCTAGATTTACTTAACTTTCTCTATTCAAAGTTAAAATATAATAAGACCACTTGTATAAAATGGCATTCAAGAATACGGGCTATGCTTTATGATGATGAATGCATATATCTGAACTCACGGGCAATGCAATGGGACAGCTAACAAAACTTTAATGCCAGTTAGCTCTGCATACACGGTACTGCGCCACCGAGCCCATACTATAAGTCAATTTTGTATGTGTCGACTTTAGTATCGCTGTTGCGGTACGATACAAAGGCGTCCCAAAACATTATTGTAATTTAGTTTGGGCTCGTAGTCAAAGCGTGCTGATACATAAAGTATAAAACCCTAAAACTCTCTACACACCAAGCGCACTGTGGTTTCTATAACAAAATTGATAATCCATGGCAAACGCACACGGTTATATTTGTATAGAAACCTCTGGGTCATAAATATTTAATAAAATTATCAAGTTACTACATAAGTATTTATAGTTAACAATCAAAAGGTACCGAATTTCTCGTATTCTTTACTACCTAAATGTAGCCACTTCTTTACCTCATTGAAATAATTATAGAAAATCTTGTCTTACTTATTTATTTGCATTAAATTAGTCTGTATAGTTTAGACAAAATATTAGGGTTGTATTCTACAGAACTCTACTCAATGCTGAAGTCAGGATTTGAGTATGGTTTAAAGCACTCGAAATCATACTCAAGTCCCTGGCATTAGGGTAGTATTTCCAGTGCTTGTGTTTCCAGTGCAATCCTGACTTGAGCATTGAGTAGAGTTCTAGAATACGACCCTATATGTTGATTTTGTGACTCATTAACTATTTCCAGAGACCTAAATTATAGTTGACGCTTATTAATTAATAGGACGTGAAAAAAAGACCATATTTTTAAATTCGTGAAATTAATTGAGATAAAGAAACTGCGACTCAAATAATCGACACCAATAGCAAATTATAACACTACCTAATAAAGGTACTAAAGAATAACAAGATAAATTTTACCATAATGTGTACCAGAATCTGTTGACACATGGGCAATTGAAAATAGTTGTTAGCGACACTGGAATAAATCGGCGTTGTTATATTTGTGAGTTTCTAACATACGACATATAGGAACACATTATCATAACTAATTACGTATTCATTGAACATGTTCTGTTGTATTATATAAATTACTGATTTATTACATTATCGTTATATGCAACTTACTAGATAAATGTCAATTACAATAGCTTTAAAAGCAATAAATGCTAGTAATAGCATAAAGACGTCTAATAGAGACTGCATAGTGGAACTCTTTTCTTCATGTCGTGTCATGAGATTCTGGTAGACCCAACATAATCATACAACCCACTAAACATGATCGTAGCAGCGCTCAGCGAGTTCTTATGAAACTAGTATACTATAACGCAGTAATAGATTTGGTATAATACACAGAAATATGAAAAAAAAAAACATGCTATAAAGAACTGCATTTTACATTCCACCGACTTATAAAACGATTACATATTTCCAAACAACACAAATAAAACTTACAACATCGCGATTTCATTGTATATCACAGTAAACATATTTTTACAAAGTAAAAAAGCGTCACATCTATTTTTTATTATGCTCAAAAATAAACTGAAAACCCTTAACAAAATGTCATAACTACGTACTTGGTAACAAAAAATATCACTACAACTTCAAGTTTATAACATAACAGTAATAAATGCTCCTCTCTGGTATATTACTTGAATGAGGTAGGGTCAGGAGACTGTCCTAACCGGTCACGGATCACTTCTGTATTTTCACATGCACATGCAGGAAACAAATTATTTTTTACGGAAGGAATATAGAAAATTGGATAATTCGCCTCAGAGGTATTATCTGTTCGCAACGAAAAAATCCCTATGTGTATAATCTATGAAACAACCAGCCTGTGCATACATACTATAATTGCATACATGTCTCAAGGCTTTATGACACGGAGGGGAAATTACTTAAAATATTGTAGATAGGACATTTTGCTTGCTGCTGGGAATCCAACAGTACAAATAGTCTGCTTAAAAATTATCCAGATTATGTACCTGTTGTAAGAAAATCACAATCTTTATAGCTTTCTTGTTATCGAATTTCACGTGCAGAAAGATAGTGATTTTCTTACCGTAGCTATATAAATTAAAGGCTTTTTGTTTAAAATGTCACTTATGTGGTTGTACCATTAAACAGACGAAATTTGAAAAAAAATCTGTATTTTCATGACGCCGATCGAAATGGCCATGTCAGGTCAGGTATCGTTTCTTTTAAGTAACATAATATCAAAAATTAAAATACAGCAAAATAACGACTGATTTTCTTCCTGGACTTGTATCGGACACGTGGACCATTCAAATAGCCAGCCAGATCTCGAGACCGGACTCTATTAAATTTATTTTTCTAGGGATACGTGAAAGATTTAATAAACAAAAAGCAATTTGAAAAAATCCGTGTGACGAATTATTTCGAATATTCATTATAATAACACAAGAACATCTACGAGCAGCGATAAATTTGCTGCTCGTAGATGTTCTTGTTCAAAAGATCCAGAATTTGCAAACAAGAATATATGGACCACATTTTGAATAAAAGAATATTTGATAAATTAATTGCAAATACCGTAGACACATTAGCAGTTTCAAGTTTCGTTTTTTAATAAATTGTGTAATTGAACGGTGTTCCTTTAATTTAAGACACTGATTACTTAGAAAAAAAACCTTGTAATTGATCCTTTCATTCGACTTCATAAAAATGTCTTTATTTTTTGTTTTTATTGGTCAGTTCGATTCGAAAATGGCGCAAGCAACTTGAAAAGTCTAAAACGCATATTACTTGCTTTAAAAATAAAATAATATTTCTAAGACGTAAAATATCCTACAATATTTAAAGCACTTTCCCTGCGAGTCGCATAGCTCTGGTCTATTGACATACCGCACATGAAACCAAGTATTGTCGTAACTCAAGAAATTATGGAGTTGAGATTAAAAACAAAACTTGAAAATTTAAAAGGAGAAATTGAATGGATCTATAAGAGTTATTGTGAATAATGCGATTACTTTATTTAAACATAATTTTTAATTATCCATTTAGAAATGATAATATTTTATATATATATATATATATCGTTTATATGAAACAGCTGCTCTTTATGACGAAAAAAGTAATTTATAGACATTGGACACAGAATTTCGGTTAAAATTTATTAACGTCTTTAGCAGTCTAATTTGAAAGTCATACTGACTTCTGCGTGAAATATTACACATTATCGAATCCCATTCCTGAAGTTAAAAAAAAATTAAACACAGAATAGTAGCGAAACGTTTCGAAATTTGGATATTTCAGTCCGAAAGTCAAGACTGAGTTTCAAGTTAATAGATAGCCTTAGGTTACGGCAGAAACAGTTTTTAGTTAGCGTTTGTTTTGCTTACATAAGTAAGTAACATAAATAAGTGTGAATCCCTTTAGTTTCATTATAGAGAGTTTACGGTAATTTTGACGCGATACGAATAAGAACTTAGTGGGGTGCAGTTTATTCTACTTTGATCACACAATCGTAATCACTTACGACAAATTATCGGCGAGTTTCTTTCAGCAACTTCGATCATCATCTTGACGCCTTTTCAAACTGTCTAACACATAGCTATAAAACCTAATACGGCGGCATTCAGGATCGTCTGTACAGAACTTACTAAATACGAACTTCGTAACGAAGCAAATTAACTACTTAGCGCCGTGAGTGACCGCACCAAGTTGCTAACTGGACGTAGGTAAATACACATTTATGGATGCATTAGCTCAAGCCGTGATACCGGTCCAAGGATCATGCTTACTGCTTGATGTAGTCTGGTGAGCCGATGTTCGCTAACGTCTTCTTGATACGCAGCGCTGTCAGCCGTGCCGCGGGGTTCTGGTACCAGCACTCCTTCATCACCTTCGATATTGCTGACAACACCTGAAAAAAAAAATCATAAAAGTAATGTTCTTATTTATTGATTCGTGGGGTCGTAATATGTGATCATGTGATTGTGATATTATTTAATAAATAATGCATTTAATGTCGTCAGAGTGCCTGACAGCAAAATTATCAATGAGTTCTATTTCTCCAATGACAAGGATGGGAATGTAGTTATAAGTCGTAGAATGGAATAGCAGTAGAGCTCTTTGTGAAAGAGTGCGTCTGTGGACGTACTAGCACCGCACCTATTTCGGGCGCAAAGCAGCAATGCAGGCATTATTGTCTTTCGGTCAACTTGTGACCTTTGCGATTTAAAACTATGAATGGCAATGCATGGACAGGCGTGTCGCGTATCGCGTGCGTCTCGTAAATTGGTATCATAAAAAAGTGATAAATGCGTAAAATTGAACTCACGGGGTCCGAGTGCCATCTATTCGGGACGTTAGGACGTCGTTTCTCGACGCAGACAACTCTTCGCATGTCCTCTAGTGCAGGGTCAGGTGGCACGCAGTCATAATACGGTGGTTGATAGTCGTCGGGTATGCCGCAGCGGCGGGCCATTTCCCAAAGAACCAATCCAAACGAGTACACATCTGAACGTTTGTATGGATCAAATTGCCGGGTATCCATTGTTTCGTCCAGAACCTGTTGGAAAATACTATTAAAGTACACTAAAACTAATAAATACACATATTACTCAAAAAATAAAAAAATTAAATCGGTGAATGTGTTTGCAATTTTAACTGCGTCTGTGGCCGAACGATTACCATGTTGGACTGCCACGCAAAAGGTCCCGGGTTCAATTCCCGTGTCGGGAGAAATATTTGTACGGTTTACATTTATTTCTCTCGTGAATTTGGGTGTAATTTGTGGTTGTCTATGTGTGTGTATGGCACCCGCGATACAGGGTTTTCCTAGTCCGGGGCTATGGGTTTAAAAAAAAGTTATGTGACTCTGAATTAAGATATTTGTTTACCTCGGGCGCCATATATCTCTTAGTACCGACGCGGTTAGTGGAAGGCACATCGACGGAATCGCTGGCGACATTGTGCCGCACGGCTAGTCCGAGGTCTCCAATCACACACGTAAGATTTGTCTTCACCAGTATGTTCTTGGATTTCAAGTCGCGATGAGCGATCGCTGGCTTCCCTGCGAGTACACTTCCTACATAAGAAAAAAAAAAAATAAGCACAACGGTGTGAAATTCTTAATTTACTATATAAGTGAGCTTGCTTCTACACGGCGCCAAATTATACTGCGAGTTTTGTACGCTTCGCTCATGTTGCTACCAGGAAAAATATTCCCAGCAGTGGGGTGTGTACGGATGAATAGTTTAAATGAGTAATATAGATTTTAGACCCACCTTTAGTACCCACTATATCCATATGCAAATGCGCCAGTCCAGTGGCGATGGATAGCGCCATTTTGATCAGGGTGGTGGAGTCGATGGTGTGCGCGGTCAGGAAATCGAACAGCGATCCGTTCTCATGATAGTTAGTAATTAGCCATAATTGAGTCCACGTACCATTATCTGGAATGTTATTATCAATATCTTCTTTTTTCAAACGGCTGATGAAAACTAATTAATTGTTCAAATAGAAGTATTTGATTGGTTGTTAATGAAAAACGCACAACATATGCAGCACTAATGGAGCAATGGGAGCAACTAAAAAGAGTACTATTCATTCAATTTATAGTACTCAATAAAATGTGTCAAGTAATTCCTTTTATCAGCAATCCCAGGGAAGTTGATGAATTGAGTACGCTTTTGATGCATGACTCGTACATCATTGATAGATTACGACATCGTCTAAGACTAGTTCGCAAGATAAGAGGCAATTTTGATTTGACTTCGCTATAAATATAGACACTCAACTCAAAAAGGCTAACACAAAAAACGAAGATTGTGCTTTCCTTGACTTAATATACCGAGGGTGTCATACATACCATTAAAAAAAATTAAATAATAAATTAGAGATAAATAGGTTGAGAAAGTGGTCAAATTGGATTGAAATGGGGTTGAACCAATCGCAGAAATGAAAAAAGTTCGGAGTGATCAAAACAATGCATGTTGCGCAAATTTAAAAGTACTCATTTAATCAACTGAAATTGTGAAGAGACAAAACTGACTTGTCGGCCTTTCAGGTTAGTGCGATCGGCAAATTGAATACAAAAAATACCTTTATTGTCAGCAGCGATGAATCCCAGAATATTCTCGTGTCGCAACATGACAGTCTGATAAATCTCAGCTTCACGGAACCAGGAACATTCCTCTCGGGAGCTAAAGATCTTGACAGCGACATTCTCGCCATGCCAACGGCCCCGCCACACCTCGCCGAAGCGGCCTTTGCCGATGATATCGACTAATTGGATCTGACGTGCGATTGACCGCTGCACGAGAAGAGGGAGACCTAGAACCGCAGCGGTTGGTCAAAAATATGTTTATTTAAGTAGTGGTCGGTCGTTTACTGTTAAAGCCTAGGTTGTGTTCTTTGTTTCAAAGACGGTGCCAGCTTGAGTCGCGAAAATATCTATATCCGACGTTGGTATGAATGAGGCGCAACAAGCGTGCTGAATCACTTTGGCAGTTGTTGACAAATGTACACAATAGTCGAAATCAATCGTTTTTAATCTAACATTACATAGTACATACTCACCAGAGCCAGATCCAGAGGTCGTCAACTCGATCATGTCTCTAATAGTGGCTGTGCCCATCATTTGGTGTCTGGTTTCGCAAAGAGATTCTTCAACAGGGAAGAGTGGCCGCGAGCCGCGCTTGTGCTTGTTACGCGACCTCTTCCACCAAACGCTGATCGCCACACAGACCCCCACCATCATCATACCCACTATCCACGGCACCACTTGCCATGCCGACGGCGGAGGGCTTGTTTCTTTAGAAGAAGTAGGCGTTAGAATCTCGCCTCCTTAAGAAGTCATAAGAATCATAAGCAATAAGCGATACGTTTTTTATTTTACTTTTACCCCAAAACATCTTTTCAAATTGATGCAAGCTCTTTATTACAAATATTAAATTTGAATGCGCATTAGATTATTAATTACCTGATGATGAATTCTAAAAAAAAATATGAAATTATAAAGAAGTTATTCATCGCTAATGCTGCTAAAGCGAATTAAAAAAAACACCAAAAAAAAAACCAGAAGCCACAATAATGTTTCCCCAAACAATTTTAATGACCAATAAAATAAAAAAAAGTAAAATAATTTAAATTACTAAACAACGCACATGCAATAATAATCAATTAAAACAAAAACAAAGACGAATAATGATTGAATGTTATTCAAAAATTTTTTTTTTTTTTAATTGAAATGGCAATATAATAACAAATTTCGTAGTCCAATAGTTATTTTTCGAACAATTTTGTGCAATGTACAATTTAATTGTGCTTTTTCGTTATAAAATATTAAGTAGCCCTATCCACGAGTTAAAATAGAAAGAAAAGGGTTTTTGGAGTTATCTTTAAAAACAAACTAATGAACATGCGATTAGTATAAAAATAGCTTAAAACATGCCGAAGTGGTAAAACCGGCTGATGATCACTTACATACTTTTAACCCCGTCGACACATAAATGACATTCGAACATTCCGCTATAGTTCCTATGGCGTTAAATAAAAGATATACAGCATCATGAATTCACGACATTCCATTGTCACTGCCTCGCTCGCATGCCTGGCTAATGTATATATTTATGAAGATCCACGTCATACTCACAACCTGACTATTACTTAAACGAAAACAGTTCTGGCCAAACTCGATGTCTAATTCCCGAATCCAACCATAATAATACCAAATTGGGGCCTTTGTCCCGGGAAACTCGGTCTCGAAAATTTCTACATACGACGATTTATTGGCATTTTCGATGTTCGAGACTGGTGATTTCAATCTCGGAAACATCGAGACTTTTGATACATAAATCATTTAAAGCAACTCTGTAGAATGGGGCTTAGTATAATCTGCGGAGATTAAAGAACGATAGTAATAAATCAGGTCCTCTCTATCTGAAACTACATGAAAATGCCCTTTGTTTCATGCATGATCACTACAAAAGTGAAAAAATTAAAACAATCATAGATAATTTTCGATTTTATAAATTAACTTAATAAACAAAAAACATGATTAAAATACCATGTTTTGCCCAAATGTCTCTAGCCTCTAAGTATGGAAACATATTTTGTACATATTCTCGAATGTCTAATTTTTCCGGCGACTTTCGAGACCGTATCTAGTCTCGATTTTTGTTTCCGTGACTGCGGTAATGTAACGAGTCTGAAAGCCCTAATACCAATCGTTACCAAGATTATTTCAAATACGTACAAATTTTTAAATAGCAAATTCGAAATAGTGCGCTCCCTAGTACCATAATATTGAGTGGCCATGCATTGTTGCAAGTTTCCAATGGTTTCGTATTTGTTAAGACACCATGAATATCGTATTTAGACATGGTGAAACATGGGAGTAACGTGTACATCGATACGGAGACATAACATAACAAAGCTCCCCAGTTCACCCGGACAGCACATTCCCAATGCAATCCGTACCTGTCACTAAGGTTTCATTATTACAGAAGTCCGTTTGGCAGCAAAATATGTGGTCTTCACGACACCATATGGGTGTGTCCCCGGGTGGGAATATCGACTCTTGATTCCAACATCTATATCCACAAATTGTCGTATTAATAACTCAAGTATAGTCCATTTATCGACCTAGTGGGTGATCAATGCCGGTCTACAGGAAGGAAACTTAGTCATATTAGAACAAAAAAAAACAAATAGTGTCAGCCATGCAGTGTTCAACCAAGCACCAAAATCTAGCAGAGCCGCCGTTTGGGGTCAGGTAGCTCCGCGAGGTGTGGGTGCATTGAGCTGTAGCAGCGGCGGCGGTGGCGCGGGCGGGTCCTACCTGGCGGCTTCGTCTGCAGCTCCAGGCGCAGCTCGCGATTACACATGTGAGTGTCACAACATTCGATCACCACCGACGCGTTTTTATTTTTCGTCGTGGAGCAACTGAAGGGGTGCTCGAAGGGAATCAGTGATTTGAAGTCGAGACAGCTGCGCCGCAAGTGGAACCACCATACATTACGTTTAGTAGGTTAAAGCACAACCAACACACACTCGGAAAATAGTGTTTGTTAAAGAGAATGGCACATCATTCAAAACATACTAAGTAATATATTGGTCGATTGCTCTTAGTAGGTACATATTCCCATGTCTAAATCATAAGCGATATTGTTAGAGCATTGGCATCTCAACACAAAACTTATATAGGAATGACAATGCAATTATGATTCTACAGTACATCAAACAAACTCAAATCTGCATCATCACGGTCGGAACCACACGCTCACAAATATGGAGAGCTTCTTACCCATGGTGTATTGGGGCTTGGATAGAAAGTAATTTGCAGGAGTATTGCAGAGATCAATTCTACAGCAATAAGACGTAACTATTCTGCAATTGGCTGGTAGATCGGGAGGGAACGCTTTCTTTGGTAAGCAGTAAGCGTTGACCTCTGGGCGTCTACACCGGTGAACCATTTAATAAAACAAGTTAACATTATTTGTTACTAAAAAAGTGTAGGAGGCCTGTATTTTACAGATTTAAAAGGCTAGTTTTGATCTCACAACACATCAAACTATGCAATAATTTATCGGAATATATTGTGGAATGCCAAAACATGGTACAATAAGTTAGAATTTGGTATTTAGGTGATTTACATGTGACACAAATAATAAAATGTACATTTAATATCTCATGTTCAACACAGGCTATGTAGGATATATTATGGTCATATTATATTGTAACCTTTGTATCACCATGTATATATACATCAGTCATTGCCACATGGTAGTAGGTAAGTTTATATAATACAAAACGTCAAGACAAAATGTCATACAGAATAATACATCACTTATAAAGTTATAACAATATTGATCAATAATGTGATATTTAACATAAATAATATATACACCACATGAATTAAAATATTTGTCTTGATATGAGCTTGCCAATTGCTTGTAACCAAATATTACTGAAATATGAGAAACTACAGCCAAATATGTACCTTTTTAAATTGTTTTCTGGTAAACAAATTGAGATTTGTCTTTTAAGTTTCAAAATTTGAAAATAGATTGATTTCCTGCTAAAAAATTTAATAAAACGATACTCACTGGTAAGTGTATTTCTGGACTCCCTTTTCGATGTTAGTTGACGCATAGCAATAACCATCTGTTTCACATGTTGAGTTTGGACAGCTACTGGGACTGTCAATATTGCAATAGCACTTCAGCCCTATTAAAGTAAAGATTCAAGTTAAATTGGATACTTATCAAATTATCATATTATCTACATATGGAAATACAAAGAATTGATTTTAGAATTACTTTTACTAGCCATTTTAGTATAGGTTACCCCATTATTATTAATTTTTATAATATCTAGTGACGGGATGAAAAAGTGCGTCTGATAGTAACATAACAGTTGCAGTGCCACTCACAACTTTAAATTGCAAAGATCTCAGGGGCACTGAGACTGCGCCCTGAGAGGCCTGAGACATAAGTTGACAAGTCCCAGGTGCCTGTAATTTCACCAGCACACAAACCAGACCACAGTAATGTTCACATTACTGCTTGGCAGCAGTGTTGGGCGTTAATCAATTACATTTCAATCAGAAATTAAATCAGATAAAAAAATCAGTTGCAGTAAAATCAATTTTAATTGCAATTGATTTCAATTGAATTGATTTTAATTGCATATAAATTAATTGCAATTAATTTTTTTAGTTGTTCTAAGAAACAATTGAAACTAACAATTAAAACCGAAAGTACCGAATAAAAGTGTCATTAAGAATATGGGTTAGGGGGTGGGTTAGGGGCTGGTTGGGGGGCTTTGGCGAACTCTTTGGCAAGGAGCTCAGCTGCTACCATTATAAATATGACGTCATTAAAAAAATAATACTCTTCTTTTTAATACGCAATGTAATTATAATGCAATAAAAAATTTAACTGAATTGAAAAAAATGACATGAAGAGTAATAATATAATGAAATGGCAACATTTCTATTCTTGTATTATGATATGATGTATATCTTCTAAGAAATACTATCAAGCGATAAAAGGTAAATTTGCTTTTGGACCATTTAATAAATCGAGTTTACCATCAGTAATTTATTCCTGTGATGTAAGCAAGCCAAGTAGAAATTATTAGATATTGGTCTTGTTGAAATCCCAATGAACTTTTATGATATAAATTAAAATTTTGTTTTATTTAATATACAGATGTAAATTTGAGACAGGGCAGCAAGGCCAGCCACCGTTGTAGTTACAGGAAAACGGTTCTAGAAGACTATCCATTAATTTTGAAGATATTTTGATGGGCATTCACAGATTTTGGAAAAGTGGTATAGTCAGCAAGATAAAAGGCAATTTTTACAAAACTTTTTTTTTTGCCATTCAATCCGGTCTCTGTTAAGAATCAAGTCTCTATGGAACTAACTGAGGTCAGAGTACTAGAAATGTCAGAAATCGCAAAAAACTTGTTACCATACATTTAGTAGGGACATATTTAGTAATCAGTTATTCTAGGTTATGGAAACTAACAATAAGGAGACTAACAAATTGACAACGTATTAGGTATTCCAAATCAAAACAATAACAAAAAGCAAAATAACATAAAAAAATTATGATAGTAAGTGCTCGAATTTATTGCGGCCTTGGCGGATGCATCGATTCGCTCTCTTCCGCAAAGAGTAAATTAGCGGCTGAAATTTTACTCGAATGGATTCCATTAAAAATTGCTGCAAGTGCATCTTTCAGTTCTTGAACACTGTTGTATTTTTTTTATAAATTTCATTTAAATAATACATAATATGTTGTCACTTTGTTAGTTTCCTTAACTACCTAGAATAACTGATTACTAAATATGTCCCTACAAAATGTATGGTAAAAAGTTTTTTGTGATTTTTCACATTTCTAGTACTCTTACCTCAGTTGGTCCCATAGAGACTATTGATTCTTAACAAAAACCGGACCGTATGGCATAAAAATTGCCTTTTATCTTGCCGACTGTACCATTTTGGCAAAATTTGTGAATGCCAATCAAAATATCTTCTAAATTCATGGATAGTCTTCTAGAACCATTTTTTAGTAAATAAAACGATTAAGGTGGCTGGCCTTGCTGCCCCGTCTCAAATTTACACCCTGTATATGTATATTGAAATGTATGTACAACCAAATTTATCAATGGCAGCAAAATAGCTATCTATTTTGAGAACAACACTGGTACTTTCAAACCAATAAAAAGTGAGAGAAAAGTTAACATATTATACTAATTTGAATTCACCTTCATAACCCAGTAAGGTAACATGTAAAATCAAAACATGCACATAAATATACTTTGTTTTGCAAATGATTTGGTTTTGCTTTTCTTTTCCATTCCTTAGGACCCTTATCTTATCACGTAGTTGTTCTGCATGCATATTTAGTCTATATTTGTTGCATTTACAGTATATCACATGTATTTCTACAAGTGATATTTAGATGTGGCAAAAACACCAAGAACACAAACACAACAGATAATAAAATACACTAAAGATAACAAGCGGACCAAAATTCACTGGGCAGGAAAAAGGCATCTGGGTGTTTTTGTTTATTACTTGATACATACTGAAGTGGTTATCTGTAAATGGGCTGTTATTTATGACGTATATGGTTTATCAATACATCTATCTAATTTATCAACTTAGATATTTGTTTTTGAAGTTTTCTCTGATAAACTATGTAGATATTAAATTATTAATCTCACCACACTTTGAGATTGTCGTTGTTTGTTCAATTTGAAAACACTGCATTGTTGTGGCATAACTTTTTCAAAAAATAATAGTAGGGATTACATGCATTGGATGTGGAAATTTAGGGTTTTACATACAGACATACATATATATATATATATTAGCCTGCTTGAACATCATAGTTAATCTGCAAATGATACATTAGTGTTTAATTCGCAGTTACACTACTTTATTATCATTTGCAGATTGAGTATAATGTTCAAGCGGGCTAATGACATTGACAAAAAATTATGAAGGATTTGTGTAAAATAGCAACCTGTCCGAAAATAGTTAGTTCTACTTCGTAAGGTATATTTTGGTATCGTCTGTCGTAACATAAACTTGAACGAAAGGCGACTTGTCTGGAAGCATGGCAGAACAGACTGCTTGCAAGAAAATTACTTGATAGCTTGCCCACCCAGTCTGAACGGAAATTATGATCGTTCTATTATTAAATTGTCTACGACTTAGGTATCGTATCCTATGCTTACCTATCTATCTTATACATAATAACATACCTTCTACAGGATCCAGCTTTCGAAAAACAGCAAATGTTAGCAGTAGAAACCATTTTCTCCATTGGAAGCTATCCATCATAGATTTACTCGAAAGAAACATTGTTTTATTCAGAGTTCTCAAACAATCAAACACAATATTTTATTATTGACACTGTACGAACACGGCCATTTGAGTGGCTTTTGTAGATATAACATCTTCGTCCTTACACTAATTTATTGTTTAGATTGAGTCGTTGCTCAGTAAGATAATTTAATACGTGGTACCGTGTCAAATTACTAATAATCGGTAGATTAAAGAAATACAAAGAAAGAAGAGCAGACAAATTAAATAATATGCTTCTTCTCCGGCAAGTAAATAAGGTGAGGGAACGAACGAATGAATAAATATTGCATGTGTGTATTTTTTTAAATTACTTGACTTTGTTACCATACTTAAAAATGTTAATACCTAATAATTGATACAAATATTTCACATTGTTTTGAATAAAATACGCACTGAAAATATAAGAGTCGATTAACATGAGCAATTAAATATAACTTTAAAAAAAGATGCATTGCAACCATATTGCAACAGTTATAATTAACAACCCTTATATTATACTATAACTTTCAGAATACAGTTAACATTGATTTCGAGTCGAGTAGGTAGACCGCACTACGTACTAATAAAATGCAGGTTGACAACATTACGAATCTAACTCATTCGTTCTTTTATATTACCTTTTTCGTTCGTTCTGCTATTAGAAAGCGAGATAGACGCTGGATATGACGTCGTATATTTTAAAAAAGCCAAGACGAATCAATCAAACAATAAACGCGCGTCCAGGATGAAGGTTCGTTCGTCTCACTACACATCGCATCGCTAAGTTCCACAAAGGAACTCACCACATTTATTTACACGAAATCGTCTTGAGCCAGTCGGAAAACTCTTTATGTCAATGCAATAAAGCGAAAAATACGCAAGTTTTGCTTCCGTTCGGATCGTCGACTCGAAACGGACAACTTTTCGGATAATTTTTCTGGCCGGCTTAATGCATATCTTCCGTGACAATGAGTGTGATGGCTCCCTTATTGGAAAGATCATTCCCGAAATGCCCACCAGAGGGTATGGCGGCAAGAAGGATAACTATTTTTCGACTCTAAACTATACGTGTCATAGGGTCGTATTCTAGAACTCTACTCAATAATCAAGTCAGGACTTAAGTATTGCAGTGAGTACTGAAAATCATACTCAACTCTTTGCCATTTGTGTCGTATTTTCAGTGCTTGAAATCATACTCAAGTCTGCTCAAATCCTGACTTGAGCATTGAGTACAGTTCTGGAATACGACACATAGGGTCGTATTCCAGAACTCTACTCTATATTCAAGTCAGGACTTAAGATTGCAGTGAGCACTGAAAATCATACTCAAGTCCTTGCCATTAGGGTCGTATTTCCAGTGCTTGAAATCATACTCAAATCCTGACTTGAGCATTGAGTAGAGTCCTGGAATACGACTCTCAGTGTCAGACTTAACTTAGGGGATGGAAGGACTAAAGGTCTATTCCACATATCTGGGCCGTGGACGGGCCGTAAAATAATATCGTTGCGTACATTTTGTATGAACTCGTTCACACATGTCCGTGTCCAGGCTGGCGCCGGGACGGACCTGCAGTTCATACAAACTAGCACGTCTTGTTCACGTTCCGGGCACGGCCACGATGTGTGTGGATAGTCCTTTAGATGATGGAAAAAAATGTGTCAGTTTTCCATCCTCTATGGACCATCGTCGTCTGCTGGCAATATTGTCGATTGTAGAAATAAATTTAAAGTAAAGTCACAGTAGACAGACGGGTGAATTTGTTGTTTTCACAAAATAGTCTTATATTATTTCTAAAACAAATTGATTTAAATTGTATTATAATATTAAAGGTAGGTCATAAAACTACTAAATCTATGATAAAACGTTATTATTATTTCCTTTATGGCGGCCACTAGTCTTGTGCCAGTGTCAGTTTTATAAGAATAATATAAATATAAACATTATGGTGATGATCGCCAGTGTAATGAATGGTAGATAAAATCCATAAAAATACGCTCATAAAACCATTGCCTAAAATGTTAATTAAAATATATTCTCTGACATACAACCACGCTTTGCACATTGCCAACGCCCTACTTTTGATCCTATGTTTTGAAAATGAAGGAGCGGCCGTTCATTGTTTTTATTTCACTATTATTCGTAATTTCTTGACGAATATTTTTTCTTTGGCAGGTCGATATTTAGTAAGACGATGTCGGCTACTGAATTACACACTTACTTTACAGGGAATAATACGTACAAACTAATAAATCCCATAAGTCGGCGTATTGGGGATTTTACGCCGTTTTACATAGCCATAGCGATTTGCTCTGTGATTTTGGGACTGATTCTGATCCTGAATATTGTGTGCTGTTGCTCTCGTTATTCTGACTATTGGCTCGATCGTCACACAGGTTAATATAGTATAATTTTTACTAGATTCTCTAATTTAACGCCAATCAGACTAAAAATAAACTTAATTAAGTATTTGACTAAATTTCCGCACCATTGCAGAAAATCAAATGGGACCTGCCTTTAACGCTTTTAATTAAAATATACTTCACATACTGTTTCCTATACTAGTCTACAACATAAAGAAAAAGTTTTGTTTATTACCAAAATGTCTTTTGTAGGTAACCGTTGGATAGTTTCGATCTGGTCTGCAACTCCTCACAAGCAACCTCCTCTTGACTTTACGGAGTTAGAAGCTAACTATCAGCCAGTTCATTACATACATCCATACCCTGACAAGTATCACGAAGTGCATAAACGTGAAGAAGTGCCTGCTTCATTCTCTCGGCAACCACTAACTACATCACAGGAGTACTTAGAACTGCACAAGCGAGAAAGCGATATCTAAAATGGCATTCCTTATGATATATCCTTCTGTAGCTGTTTTGTGTATGTTTGTACTTGTTGTAATAATACTTATGTTAAGATTTGGGGCCAGATGGTGCAAATTGCGTCATACGGCTTTTGCTGATCAGGAGTACTGGAATGAGGATGACGCTTATGAACAGAAAGTATCATATGCATAATCAACTTAAAAAAAACTTATTTTACGATTCCGTCCATATGGTCTAATTGCATGTTTACCCAGTAATCAAAATAGTCTTTATAACAGTCGCCTTGTACCAATTATTTTTCTCTTCAGTTGAGGTATATTTTGTTTACTGGTAAAACTAGGAACTTTAGAATTAGACCTTTGACTGTATTTTGACTTTGCTACTTGGTAATTTTAAGATAAGAAGATTAATGTAGCCAATAAGCAAACTATGAGTAGATATATTGAATTTGCTTGCGAATGTTTTTGAATATCTTTTTATTTCATAAGTATTTCTTTATTATGATTTGTTTTACATCACAGGCTATTGACCATTATTTGTTAGCAGTTTGGAAGTACTCTTTTGTACAAAATAATTACAATATAGCCATTATACATTATGAAAATTTGTACAATAATTCTAATCATTTATATATGAATATTTTTACGAATATTTTTTATATACTTCATTTATATGAGTACACATTTAAAAAAATAAAAAAATGCTAGCGAATATTGCCAATGTGATGACCTGAAACCGTGCATGCCAATTTTTGTGTGTAAAATTGTAAACCCTATTCGATTTACTGGAAAAACAGCTCACCTATGCACCATTTTATTTTAGAATAGAATAGAATCATTTATTTCATAATATCACAATTCGAAATATAATGTCAAGGGATAACATGATCGTCATTAATATAAATAATAATTTTAATATAAAATAAAATAATTAAAAGAGAAATAAAGAAAAATATGAACTACAAAAACACAAATAAAAATTTAAATATTTTCAAAATACAAACGTCCAAAATTAAAAATATAATTACAATTTCCTTAAAAGAAATTCCTTTATGCTGTAGAATTCATTATCCAATAAAAGGTCTTTCAGTCGGGAACAAAACACTTCGTCGTTTATACTGGAAAATCGCTCACCTATGCACCATTTTATTTTATAGGGGACTAAGATCCCATTACGTCCAACTTTTACAATTTGTGAATGGCCTACAATTTTCGGATATTTAGTTTTGTATAAGTCAAGCTAAATCACTTAGTTTAGACTGTTTGTAGTATTGAATAAAATAGGTAAATAAAGCCCTCACCATATATTAGAGTATAAAAGAACAAGTTGATATTCATAGTAGTAGTTTCTCTTGCATATATAACTTGAACATTGACAATTCCATGGGCCAAAAGTAGCTTTAGGCTCAACTCACACAGGCGCAGAGTCGAAGCGTCGCAACGCGTCATGTTTTTCGCCTATAGCAATTTCATCTCTATTTTTTCGTTATTAAGGTACGAATTTGTGTTATGCAAATATGGAGTCGCGAGTCGTCCGACGCCGACTACACTGTGATCCGGGCGTACTAATGCGAGCGTCGTCGCGCGTCGCCAGACGTAGTTGAAAAACAGGACGCGACGCGACGTTTCGACTCTGCGCCAGTGTGAGTTGAGCCTTAGAGAGTCTTTAGAAAACACTATAAATAGTTTGTCTCTTATTAAAAATCCCCATATTGACAAATACCCTAGAGTTTAAAATACATATCTTAGTGGAAATAAATTGATTATAGATGTTTGTAAAATTCGGGAAAAGTCGTTCGTGCCTTTATGAAATGTTCATTGTTATTAGTTACAGTTGGTATTGTCAATAAGTGTGTGTGGATTGAGTGAGTACCCTCTGTAAAAAGTTTATAATATTTAAAGTTAGTCATTTTATTGTAATATATAATTAATATGTAAAGTTGTAAGTTAGTCATTTAGTAGAAACCAATTTTTCTATTTGTAGGATAAAACAAAAAAGACACGTATTTAAGCACACATTAAGTTACTTGGTACTTGGTGTAACGGGCTGGTATCTTTTGTTTTATCTTACAAATAGAAAGATTGGTTTCTGCAATAATTGTTTAGAACTTCTACTAAATGACTAATATATTGTAAACTTCTTTCAGAGGTTGCTCACTGAATCCACACACACGTTTATAAAAAGAGTGCCTAAATTAATGGGACACCATGTGAAAAACCAAAGTTGCAAATAAATAAATGCATTTACTATTTTAATTTTTTAGGTTTACTGTAGTAGTAGTCATAGCGTTAATTTCCTTCCAATAAAGTAGTTATTATTCTGCTTGGTTTTGTTTCTTACCTACCTTTGATCCTTCAGTGTAGCGTTGGGTAATTTGCCGGGAAATTTCAAATAGTGGAAATTTTTTAGGAAAAAAATCAGTAGAATTGGAAAAATATCGTTCAAAGACTCATGTTGAGTTCTACGTTTAATCTTCTGATGTTTTATTTAAAATGAATAATAAAATAAAATGGTATAAACATTGCTAAATCTATTTTCTAAATCCTGCTTGGCTTTTATTTTCACAAATTCTCCCGAGTTCTTTGAAACGTTATGGCCCCATCGAAGTAATTATAATTTCGCCAATGTCAAATTGAGGATCACACGTTTCTCGAGTTCAGGATCTTCAACTTCTGATAGATGTTAGTCAAATGGGGAAAAATATCGACTCCGAAGAACACTATCCTCTAAGGAAGTACAAAAGTCCGATGTGATTATATAGTGAAAAGAGAATAAGTACGTTACGAGAATAATTTCGTTATTCAAAGTAAGGCCCATGTAAATGTGTTTTAAAAATTTATGTATGTTATTTCGTTTCGGAAATATAAAATCGAACAACTGTCGATCTGACATCCACAGCGAAGAAGAACGAACGAATGTCCTGAGAAAAAGTAGTCTTGCACATATAGATCTTTGTTCTATGGACGAGTCGATTTGTTTGATAGACTACTTTTTTCCATCCTATAAGGCTCTATTTGCGGCGGAACGGAATGGAAGCCTAGTCAAGTTCATAAATATAGTTGAGCCTAATATTTTTTATATTTTTTAAATTTATAAGGTAGGTAACCTTAATAACTGTTATAATCACAATATTATTAAAATATACTCTGTTATTGTGTAGTCAGAACACTGTTACCCAATAATCTATGATTTATGTTGTCTTGTTTCACTGTTGCCGGATTAGGCGATTTTTTGCCATTTAGGGGTCGCGCGGCGACTAAAAAAGTGGTCGGCAACTCGGCGATATTTAGGCTATATTTGAAATAGGATTCACACAGCGTGTGTATGGAACGCCGCATCTAGTACGCTAGTACATAGATATCGTTGATTGTGTGTAACTTATTTAAACTTATGATCTCAGTCCAATAGTATAAGAGATGCACAGTACTTGGTACAGTTTTTCATATGTTAACAAGTCTTTTACATAAATTAACGTAACAGTATGACTTGCAAAGATTTTATGAAGTCATTTTAACAAAAAGTTAATAGGATTTACATTTTATTGTACAGCTTCTCATGAAAGAGTTCGTCAGAAAGTACTGCCAACTTACCTATTTCACTTCACTTGGTGTCATAAAAAAAATTAAAAATAATACAAATTTGTATTCAAAGTCTTATTTAATTTTAACACATTATTTATTATTTCATTACAATATTCAAACCATATGGTGTAGGGTGTTATCAAAAAGTAGAATACCTTGCAATAGTCTTTTTACAACGTAATGTAAATTCTGTACGATATAAACAATATAGTTTTGAGCCTGATTCGTAATAAAATTTAATGTAAAAGGTAAAGGTCACACACATTGTAAATAAAATCACTGCAATCTGATTACTCGTAAACCTAAAGTAGGTAAGATTAATGACAAAAGTATGATCTAAGTAAATTATATGATATTATAGAACAAACTTAAAATTGTCGTTCTGTATAGCAAATAAAAACCCTTATATGAATTCTGGCAGTGAAACTATTCTTCCAGTTCAGCTTGAGGTTATAAAATTTAAAGAGGATAAAGGGCATATAAGCACATTAAATGAAGTTATTTTTAATTGTACCTAGTATTTAGAAAAATATGAAATTGAAAAACGTCCTGGAATCAGCATATAATGAATACAAAATAAAGTATTTGCAAGGATGATAAAACACAACAGTACCTAAGGTTACCGTTTTAAAAGCTTTTTCAGTTATTTACATACAAACACAAAATTAAAATATAAATTTTCACTATATCAATAATGAAAAATATAATAATAAATGACACAATAAGTCTTCATTTTCATTCTTACAGTACTTTAGTTGACATATAATGAAATTTGCGGATTATGTGATGCAAGTACCTTTTTCAATATCTATACAAGCAAATAAAAATAATTTTGGTATGGATTATTAAAATCTTAACTTATTTTGATTTCAGAAATGAGGAAAACTAAAAAAAGGAAATTGTAGAAAGAAAACGTTAAAAATAAAACAATTTGCTATATAGGCACAAGTGAGGTAGTCACCACACTGTAGCACCGGCTTGAGCCGGTCAGAAAAAGCTTTGTGTTCGTGCAATATGAACGAAAAAAAGAAACGATGCGCGTTTAGCTTCCACTAGGGCCGCTGCCGACGACGCGGCGACGCGGGCGAATTATATGTGTTTTTTGTTTGTATTACATGGTTAAACAGTTTTTACTGACGCGTGTGATGCGATTCCGTGTTTTCTCAAGAGCGTTTTCCATGGCATTATGAACACAGAACAATAAATACAATAGAAGTGTTTAGTTGTCGTGATATATTATGCCAACCCTATGCCGAATTCCGCATACTTGAGCTCAGTGCGCCATTTTCGCTTTGTACGTTATTGTCGTGTCAATTATCTCGCGCAAAACTTCGAAAATCGTGGGTAAATGTCTTTTTTGATATTTTGGAGTGCAAAAATGATAGTCACACCTTATATTAATATTATCTGTGGTGGTATCTCATATCCACTTCCTGTTTAATGTAATATATTTTTGATTATAAGAAACGAAAGTAAACCTTATATCGATGCTGCAATTTGCTCCATTTTTTTGGAGAACGTTTAGGCGTTAATCGTTCGTCGATTGCCGCTAGATAGCAGCACGTTGAATGAAATTTCAATAATAAAATCGAAACGTCGCGTATCGTAACTCGCTTTATTTATTAGGCATTGAACTTTGGTTAAAGTTTAAATTATGTTAACAGTACGGAATTTGTTACCTCTTTTTAAATTGCAAACATTGTCAAGATTTCATAGTGTTTAAGATAGTGTGAGTTTTGGCGACAGCGATTGTGATAGTAATCGAGGCTTAGGCACTTCCACTGTTTTTTTCTTCCGTGATTATGAAAGTATTTTAAGCCGATTAAAATAAAAAACTAAAGTTTATGTAAGTTTTTAAACGAGTGAGGAAATGAAATTCTACTGGAAAATATCGAAAATTGAATAAATTAATTTATTACTATCTTAAAAATAACTTATCTCTGTTGTATATTCGTTGATCTGCAAAAGAGAGAAAGTTAATTATTAACATTGTCAATTAATAACACACAAATATAGTAAAACTATAGTTAAAAAGCTACTTTACAGTATGTAGTGGAGTATCACGAAGTATACAATCTGATAAGTATGGTTACGTATGCCAATATTGCAAACACTTCCTGTAAACAACGTGGCGTGCCATTGAGGCTTTCAAAATAAACACGTTAAATCGCAAAAGTTAACCATGTAAGGAATTTATACTTCAGTCACAGAATAAGTAATTGCTTTGTTTTTGTTAATCCTATTTTTTGCTACCTAGTTATTTAGTTCACTTTACCCCGGACTACTTTCTCTTCCCGGCCAAGATTGTGTTCCGTCCAGTGTTCTGTTCACTGTAAATAAAATATATCAATTATTTAGAGATATTATAAATCTAAGTGATACAAAACGAACTTGTTACAGTGCACTTCATGTTTCAAAATTTCTTCAGTAGCAGAAGCCTAGGTGTAACATGGGTATAACCTATCTAATAGATGAGACTTGTGGCAACAACTTTTAAATATTTTGTTTTGGTAGATACCTGGTAGTTGTATGAAAATTCGCTAGGCGAGTATTTAATATTTTTTGCAATGTACTTTATCTAGAAAATTAATAACAGGTCGCAAGCAAGTTATATTAAATACGTAGGTATGGATGTTGTTTTTTAGTTTTTATTATAATGTAAGTTCTATGTTTGTAAATACTTACAGTTCTTTTTATCTGAGATCCGGTTCCTTCTGCGCTCGCGAGTCATAGGTATTCGTTTCGATGACGCTGAACGCACTAAACTCTCTATAATTTCATCATCGGCTGACATATCTCCGCTGTAAAGTATATTAGATTGTTTAAAAAAGTGTTATGTAGCCCTCCAACCAGGTAGCACATGGCGTCAGACTCCATCAGCTTGATTTTGTTTGCCTCTCCCGATCGGAAAGTGCGTCTTTTCCGAGTCGATGCGTATAATATTGCGGATGAGCTACACGATCGGATCGATTAATTCGGATTTGAATTAAAATCAGGGCCCTGGTTTACGCAATAAAAACGTTAGAAAATACTCACTTCACAAGAAGCTTCCTGCTGGTCGCTGGCTGTGATTTTCGTCTGCCCTCAGCAAGGCTATCTGTATCTGGATCAGTCTTCAACAATTCTTTCAAAGCTCTATCCGCTGTGTGGTCTCCGTTTTTCGCCGAATAATTACCAACCTGTAAGTTTTATTTAACCGTCAAATCCTATATAATACAGAAAGCTGGCTAGAAGTTATTTTATAATTATAATAGCATATTATAACAATTATTTATGTAACTACTAACAATTTTATATTATATTATTTAACTGCCTCCGTGGCCGAACTGTTACCATCCTGGACTGACACGCTAAAGTCCCGGGTTCGATTCCCAGGCCGGGAGAAATATTTATATGACCTATATTTATTTCTCTCGTGAATTTGGGCGTAATTTGTATTCCCTAGTGCTGGGCTATGAGTGTGTGCGCGTTTTTATTATTAACAACGTATTGTGAAATTGTCAAATAAATATGGCAAATTTGTTTTGAACTTTAATAATAAGAAAGTATGCACAAATAAGATGCCTAAAATACAGGTACTCGTTTACTTAGTTTAGGCATCGCAACAATCACGCAACAACACTCTAGAATTCTAAGATTTAATTGTAGCAATAAGACGATTGTATAATAATTAATGTTCCTTTTTTACTGTATATTTTAATATTATCATAGCTTCCTTTACATTTCTTTCCCTTGGATTAGATGAAGTTATAATAAAAATTTATCTTTATTTCAAATAAGCTGTTTAAAATATTTTAGATGGTAATTCATTTCAATTTATCTTTTATTTAAGATTTTAATTCTTTTCACACTTCAAGACAGTAGGTACCTATTGATCTTGACTAAAATACGAAAGAATTATATGTTAACTGTATATATAGCTAAAGAAACTATTTTTAGTTACGGGCCCTTTCTGTAAAGGGACCTGCGTCCCACTTTTTTTGTTTAGATCCAAAAAAATAGTTTCATTTCCTTTGTGTAACAAACGCGGGAACTCGATATGTATATTATCAATTGATAGTAATTTGTAAAGCATGCTCGCTTTAGGGCGCATTTATTCACGAATTATTACACGAATTTCATCGCGCTTAAGCCGCGCGGCCCCCGCCGCATGTAGCGACCGCGTGCATCTTCATGGCAAAATACGCTCTATTCATTTAGCTTTTACGTTTTAACTTAAATGAATGTCCCGGGCGCTCGGGCGAGTCTGGCGTGTCTTTGGTCTACGCGGCTTCCGCGCGGCGACCGCGCGGTTGTATTAGTTGGCGTAATACTGAGATGTTTTTTGACATCGCGTAGTGCATCTTTTGTATTTACCTACTACGCGGTGTTAGTCTAGTGCACGTCTAGTGTCTTGTCCAGTTCTACTGGCTGAGTGGGTATACCATTCCTGATAGATTTATTATCTTGTCAACTAAAACATACTCACATCAATGATCATTTTGCCCCTGGTCTTATTTCTTTCTCTATGATTCGCCCTTTTCTCTAACTGTTGCAACACTCGTTCCCTGGTGGTTCTGTATTCTAATGCGAATTCTGCGATCACCTTGAGAAATTCTGCCGCTTTTGTCTTAGCTACGTCGCCTGGTGGCACTCCAAGATACATCAAGAATTTGCTATATCTGTAACAAACATAAAGCTTTGTTTTCGAGAAGCGTCTGCAGAACAGTATATACTTTCGCACATGATGTTGCAGTGTGGTTAATCATGTATTTGTAGAGTGTCTGGTTGTATTGCTACAGGTGTAACATTCGCAATGCGAAGAAATATTGATAGGAATTCGCATAGCCTTTTACTGTTTTGCGAGAAAAAAAAAACCTTCTGTATGGATGTTCTGGTGTCGAAAGTGATTACCTACTTTACGTGATATTAATTGTTAAATTTATACTATGTAAATTTATAACAACCTTATAATGTAAATAAGCTTCAAATTCTGGTTATAGAATAATTTTAATCCTATGAAAGACTTTGTGCTAAAAATGGTACTAAAAAGAAATGAAAGACCTTGACAGTTTTGGTTTCGAACCCTTTATTAGATACATTACCTGCTCATGACCCTTTTTTCAATGATACCAAGAAGAATGATTCTCTCGGCTGCGTCAGTGAGGAACTCGTTAATCTTCGTTTTAAAGATTTGCGAGCTGTCATGTTTCGCCACCCGCTTCATATGGTCCCAGGACGCTTTGCAGTCCGATTCTAGTTTAGAGAGGTTGGTTCGCAGAATATCAAAGTCAACTTTTGATGCTCTAATCACTGGTCCCACCTGAAGTTAACGAACAGTTAGCAAAATCAGTGAGCATTACTTAATAAATTATATAGCTATAAATTTGTTATAGAGTTGAGTATTATAATAAATATTTTTTAAGGAAATACGTGCCTCACTAAAGAAATCAGATGTATCTGGAAACTTCTCAATGATCATTTCACAGATGTGATACAATAGTGGATGTTTGTGAACAGTGTCCTTCACCTCCATTACTTTAGAAAGGTACTCTAGTCGGAATCCCTTCACCTGACTGCCGTTGAGAAAGCTGCCTACAGACCTCAGTGTTGAGAGGATCACTTTGAATGTTTTGTTCAATTTCAGCAACTCAATGCCCTGCTTAAGGTCCATTAGTGGTTCTGCTATTTCTTTCTGTAATAAGAGTTAAGCGGTGATGTAAGTATTTCCTGCTTTCAAGACATTTTTGAAGGTGGAATCATTCCTTAAAAAATTTCACAGCTCTCTAAGAGTTACTTTGTATACACGTTAAAACAGAATCAGGGCCACAATGTAGTCAACTATCAACCACAGTACGTACTGTGAGAACGTTCTCGACAGACACTGCTTGACGTACCCTGGAATGTGTCCTCCCGCGCTTGATACACCTACTGGTAGTATTACCGATTCCTTGAAATCGAATGCGAATATTTGAAACGAAATTAGTATAGTGTTTAGTACAATACGTACCTCAAGATTATCAAAATCCAATTTGAATACCCAAAGTCTGAGTCGCGATGACAATTCGTTGATCGATGCTAGTGTCAACAGGAATTGCTCAGCACTACCCAGAGGCAAATCTGGGTTAGCATACTGGAAAATTTTTAATACTTAGGTAACGTTTAAGGGAAACGTAAATCTTTATGTATGATACAGTTGTGGTCACCGCTGCGAAGCTCACGCTTATTAATGACCACGTACTGGTTCGAAACAAATAGAGCAAAAATACGACTGAAACACGTGACTTATCTGTTTGTTCAGTTAATGTCCAAGTCTCACGGTAGTTTTCTCTTTAAAAATACTTTATTTTCTCAATAAGATACCGGTACAAACAAAATACATGTTGCTCTAGGTGATTACCTGTGCCTCCTGAATCTTTACTTTTTCTTCTTCAGTTGGTAACATTATGAGAAGTTTTTCAATGCCTTCTCGTCCTATCACCGTGGCGTCCATTTTCAAAATAGCTGCCTTTATTGTCTGAGGTGTCGGCAACTTCTTCATGGCGATATTGATGGCATTGGACCGCTTGGCGTCCAATATCAAGTTCCTCTTTGGTTCCATAAGTTTCTAGAAAACGAAATGTGTAAATTTTGTAGTAAACATGAATTATTCCAGAATCGTAACTTGCAAGTGGAAGAAAAAGGTACTCACTTCTTTAATAATAAGGTCGTTAGTCTTAGACTCAAATAGATGTTCTAAAATTTTTGTATCTAAGTTGACTTGCGGTAGGTCGTCCCAAATTAGTCCTCCGACCTTAGATCTGATATTCACAGGCACAGGATTGTCTACTATTTCTCTCCAAAACAGTTTAACTGTCTTTTTGTTTTTCTTTATTGTTGAACTATCGGAATCGTTTGACAATTCTGACGATAGGGAAGGTTTTGGTGGTGGAACAGGGACGTTGTTTTTGGGTGTAGGAGGGAAACAACTCGGTAAAGGAGGTGGATTTCCAAGAGCAGGGAATATCACTGGCGGGGGTGGAGGTGGAATACCCGCTGCGTTTACAGCAGGTGATCCCATATCATCATCTTCGTCTTGTCGTAAGTCTGAGAAATCCAAATCACAGAGGTGAAATTCTCTGTTTAAACAACCCTTTTTAAGTTCCTCCCAATGCAGATCGTTCTCTGAGACTTTAATTTCATGTACTTTTGGGGACATTTCTATTGTCGGACTTTTAATTACTTCTGTAATATGAAGGATAATTATTTTTAACGACATAATGTAATTGATAAAAGTTTATGAATAGTCTGAGGTTCTATTTACAGCACTGTTCTATTTATTACCTTTAGATTGTGATTTAGCTAACTCTTCCTTGGCTTTTGATACAATGCCAGCCATATCGGCCACTCTCAACATCTTTTCTTCCGTAGTTGGGCTGACAGGACTTGTTAACCTTTGTGCCAAATCTTTAATACTATGTTCTTTATTGAGAATTATCCCTCTGTCATCTTTTACCTCTGGCGGATTAAGTTGTTTCTGTCGAATTACTGTGAAGGCATCAATTGCGTTAACACTATGTCCTAAAGTTCCATTTTGGATTCGTTGCTTTAGACCAGATGTATATCTTTGGTTCCCTGAAAATGAAATAAATGTTATAAAGCTTACCTTTATCTGTAATATTAAAACTATTTCGTTTCAGTGACTTTCTCTAACGAGATGAGTTACTCTTAACTCCACTTTTCAGCTTTATGAGCTTTGGTTAACGTATTTTAAAATAACTCTCTTCAGTTTAATAGTTTTGGCGTAGTTATCCATCGCCATTATAAGTGTACCTGTTTATAGTATTTTGAAATGAAGTAAGAAATAAATGAAAAGAAATAAAGTAGGTAAATATGTTAAGACGGCAATGACAAAACTCTGATGATTATTAGCATGTTGTTAGTAAAATGAACAAACCATTTTCCAAGACATCTCCTAGGTTGTGATTAAAAGTTGTTCTATTGTATATTATGTCTTCGCCATGATGTCCATTAGTTCCGTTGCTATAGTGGTCTGTTCCATCCACGTGAACGTTGACACTGGGGAAGTTGTTGGTGTTTGTATGTGTACTATGGGAATAGTTTCCATTTGTTCCATAACTGCCGCTGGTGTAGTTCCCATTATTATTTCCAAATAATTTGTTGTAAATATTATTGGAATTGTTTAATAATTCTTGTTGCTGTACGATATGATGCGCGTGACGGGCGTACCTATCTGATCTTCTTTTTAAAACAGTGCTAAGTTCTTTATGTGTGTTTTTTTTGTTGTCAATTGATGGCAGGAACTGGGATCGGTTCGAAAGTTTGACTTCAGGCTCCGTGTGACTGATGGTTGCTAGTTTTGCTGCAGGATGTTAGTGTGAATGCAAAATGATGTCAAGAAGCAAACACGAAACTCATTACTAAACACAGAAAAAGGGTTCTAGAGACAGAAATATTTGCTTTATGACATGACTATTATTAGAAAAAAATTAACGATTTTATTAAAGTCTTTTGCATGCGTAATAATAAGAATTAATTTAAAAAGCCTCACAGTGATAACAGATCAAAGTAATATTACCTTTCTCTTTCATTTGTTGCTTTTTAGATTTTCTTCGTTCTGAATTATTCAAGCTGAGATTAAGGCTTCTCCTTCTCACTGAATTGATTACTGAATCATCTAACTGTCTGCAAAAATAAATTTTCAACAGTGATGTATTTCTTAAGGGTATATACGTAGTAGTTGGTACAATCTGCTTAACAAAATGACACATACTTTAGAGCCGTTCCGCTTTCGTCACCGTCTTCATAAAGAAGTACCGCCTCAAAGATCTGTAATTGCCTCAAGAGATCTAAATCTGTCCCTTGTTTGGACATGTATAACTGAATTATATCATCCATACCCTGATCCTGCAGGGCATCTACTTGGTCATAATAAGTATCTCTATCTGGTACATTGTTTAGACATCTATTGATAAGTGTAGTTGCATAAATGAGGAGCTCGGTATCTGAAGCATCGAAGTCTTGAAGGATCTTCATGATGTTGTACCAAGGCTGCCTTCCGTTAGAGCTATCTACAGCATTAATGGCGTCAATGAGGAGCAGGCAGTTCTTTTCTGTGTATTCAACGAAGACGAGGAGTAGTTTGAGAGCGGTTTTGACGACATGGCGAAATTTACTTGAGATCAAAGAGTATAGCCATTGGACACAGCGTTTGTGAGCCATTACTCCAAGCATGCCGTCGACGTAGAGGAGGATCTGAGGGTGTATGAAGTTTGTGAATATCAAGATTTAATAATACTTAAAAATACAAGTGACAATTGAAATATTAAAAATACAATATCGTATGTTCAATAAAATATACTTCCATTGAATATTAGGCCAGATGATGAAATGACTCTGAACAGACGTTCTTAACATGCAAGCATACCAAGTACAAATAATTAGATAATAATAATAAATATATGACAATTATAATAAGAAAAACGATAAATAATGAGTACTTTTCAAAACTTCAAAGTAGTACCTGTCCAAGTGCCCTAAGGATGTAGTCGAGGTAATTGTGGTCGGCCATGCTGCTGACCTGCATGAGGCAGTCCAGACCTTTGTTAGCGATGAACTCATGTACCAGGTCTTTGTCTGACTGCAGCACTTGCTTAAGGGTAAACAGTGCCCTCCGAAGTTCTCTGCCTTGCGAATGGAGAAGCTTTTCTGTTGAATAATAAGGTATGTAGCTGCAGTTTACAGTTTAGAACGTGTTATATTCTAAATAATATTGCGCTGGCTGCTTTTAAAATTTTATTTAATTAGATAGGAGTGCTAAATGAAGATGTTGAGAGTGAAGATTCACCCGCCTATAGTACTTGTTGCAAAATAGGCAGGTTAGATGCAATATATTAATATAAAAAATATAATTTCAACATCCCTCTGCTGGCACGTGTATAAAATAGTCAGACGTCTATACAAAGTGAGAGTCAAAGGATTTGTTATGTATGGACTGGCGCAGGTAGCGGAAATTCAATCGGATACAATGATTTTAGTACATTTAATTTGAGTAATTTATTTACTAATAAATATGGCAAGGTATGTTGATTCTAGACCATTTAATTACTCTAGTGATGAAAAAATGCCCGATTGTAGCTTTATTAGTTGCACCAAGTTACTACGGTGATTATTTAATTTTTGACCATTTAATATTTGTTTGTTCCTTTGGTTTGGTTTGATGTTAAATCATATTGTCATCGTCTCGTAACTGGGGGTCTGCTCTGGGGATCTCCGTCTGACATCCGTCCGGAACAATTACTGCCAAATAAGCAATACTTGAGCAAATGAAAAGACGCGTGATGCGAATAAAGATTCATACTGGATACTTGTCTTTTAATTTTGTGGAATATTACTGATTTGACAGTAATTGTTTCGGACGGATGTCGGACGGAGATCGAGATTAGTCCATCTGGTTACGAAAAACAGTTATGTAGGTGGATGAAAGGAATTTTATAGTCTTTTCCGTATTTACTAATTGTAAAAAAAAAGTGGAATTTACCTACGTGTAATTGTTTGATAGATAGTTTTAACGTATTCCCAGCTTACGTTTCTAAGATTATAATAATCTAATCAAATCTTGGTAAATCATAAATAAAAAAATAGGTATTTGCACACCAACCTATTGTCACGCCCTTTCGGACATGTGGCACTGAGTGACGTCGCGGTCTTATTTTTAACCGACTTCAAAAAAAGGAGGATGTTCACAATTCGATTGTATATATATATATATATATATATATATATATATATATATATATATAT